TGTGTGTGTGTGTGTGTGTGTGTGTGTGTGTGTGTGTGTGTGTGTGTGTGTGTGTTACCTGTGGAGCAGTATTTTCAGCTGGAAGATCCAGCACACCCTGAAACAACACACAGTCCTTTCTGCCTTCACCAGCAGAGCTCCTTCCCTCCTCTAACAACAAGATTAATGTCTGTAACAGCAGCTTGTATCTTTACACACATTCAGCCAACATTAAGACTGAGGGTGTTGTCTCTTTCAGGGTACAACATGATCCACTTCACTCCTCTGCAGACTTTAGGAGAGTCCAGGTCCTGCTACTCCTTAGCTGACCAGCTAACGTTCAGCCCTGAGTTCAGCCCAAAGGGTCTCAGTTATACCTGGGAGGATGTGGGGGCTCTGGTGGAGAAGCTAAGGACAGAGTGGAATGTGCTGTCCATTACTGATGTGGTGTACAACCACACAGGTGMGTCTATACAATATGTCTATGATATGTGTTGACATCATCTCCAACCCTTATAGAACATGCAGGTTACAGCTTCATCTGTTAGCACTGGGATAGACAGCTGCAGGTTTTCACATTAACTCTTGTTTCTAAAAGAAGAGATGATGGATTACTGTATGAGATTTAAACTTGTATTTATTCCTATAGTTTTATACTTGCAGTGTGTTTTACAAACTCTACACTTACAAGATTATTGATGGGTATTCCATCAGTTTGTTTTCTGTGTACAATCTTTACCAGCCTATAAAAATGTGTGGAAAAGCTCACAGAGAGAAAAAACAAAATGATTTTAAACATGTCTTGGTTTATCATTAGATAGTTATATTTGTGCTTTTGTATTAGCCATTAAATTAGTCTTCCACAGAATGTAGGTCTATCAGTTATTTGTGCCACTGTTTGTCCCTCCAGCTGCAAACAGTGTGTGGATCAAAGAKCACCCAGAGTGTGGCTATAATCTGGTCAACTCTCCTCATCTGCGTCCTGCCTGGCTGTTGGACAGAGCTATCTGGCATCTCACCACCAAGGTTGCTGATGGCCTSTACAAAGACAAAGGACTTCCTCCTGACATTACCAATGAAAGCCATCTGAATGTGAGTGCAGAGGACACTGAAGCAAAGATTTGTCATGACTATTATCTCACTAACTACATCTTAATGTAGTCACATAATGTACATTTAAAGTTTAAACACTGAAACTTTGAAGGGCTCATTTTTACTGTCTACATAATGAATTCAACTTTGTTCACATGCAACATTCATAAGATTGTCTAAAATGTCTCCTAATCGTAGTTTTTGTGAAGCATATGTCAAACTAAGTAAGAGAAATATGATAGTTTATTATAACCAGGTTGGTTTGGCTCTCACACCGACAGAGCTACAGCTCTGACTCAGCTCATTTCAAAATGTCTAATTTAGCCACAAGGGGGCAGCAGATCATCATTCATCCTACTCTGAAGATGAAAAAGAACCTCCTGCTCTGTGTAAAAGAAGGCTGATGCTGTGTGTCAATTAATGGGCTGCATCCTCATGTTGTGCGTTTGTTGGTCACATACGTGGAGTCTGCGTGGCTCACAGACTGTATACAGTAGGCTTGAGTTTGTGGGAGACTTCACTTTGCTGTAAGAAGTGTACAAGACAGCTGGGTGTAAGAAGTGTACAAGACAGCTGGGTGTAAGAAGTGTACAAGACAGCTGGGTGTAAGAAGTGTGACAGACAGCTGGGTGTAAGAAGATGTCCTACCTGTAGCCGTGACGTTTCTCTGGCTTCTGCATTCTTCAGAGGTGTGCTCGGATATTTCTGTGACTGGGTGCTTATTTTATCAGATTTTTTTACAGTTGCCTGGCCCTAATATGAAACAACATACAGCATCATAATGTACAACAGTGATTACCTGTGAAGGGCACTTGGGGCTGTTATTGTGGCTGTTGGACTTTAAAAGATAAGGAAACCTGCTGCACAAACATACTGAAGATGTGTAAAAGAAGGCACCAAGAAAAACTAAAGTTCTCCTGTTTTTACAACTTCTAGCTTAAACTAGTTGGAAGAAGTTTATTACAGCAAATGTAGTAATTGCCCCCACCCCCACCCCCACCCTGTGGGAATAAACTTCTCTAGGATTTCCACAAGAAATGATAGAGAGAACTGTTGGACTGTGACTGTTGGACGGTCCTAGTAGGATGGGCAATCTTGTTTTAGGTTTACCCCAAATGTCCAAGGGGGGTCTTTTCCTCACCAGCAGGGGGCCGGGGCCAGGGTCAGGTTTTTCTCTTAGTTAATTCTTGTTCAGGGCATGGTGTTAGTACTTAGTAATACATTGTAGAAGGTGAAAATCACATTAAAGAGAATAATGGATAATAAATGGATGTGTATGATCCCCAGAAAGGAACGAGACTTTTCTAAAGTAAATATTGATCTTATAAGTTTGGAAGTAGAAGAGATTGGAACAATGTGATATTATTATTGAATGCACACAACAATACAAAAAGTAATAAAAACTAAATCAAATATATGAATACTAATACTTTTGAACAGTATTTTTAAACCATAAAACAAAACAAATTATAACTTTTTCCTCTGTGTTTTAGGCAATTCGCAGTGTGTTTTGGAAAGATGTTTTTCCCCAGATCAAACTGGAGGAATTCTTCCAGGTCAAAGTGGAAAAAGTTGTGGAGGTCTTCAGAGTCCTGCTGCAAAATGGTGTGTACATGAATAAAGATAAGAAGTACAGTAATACTGCTAAACAGCAGTGGTTCCTGAGCATAAATAGTGGGGCAGACATTCATTTCCTGAAGCACTAACTGCACAAATTTTACAATTTGCTGTACATTTTCAGTGCCCTTAGACATCACCTTTTTTTCTTTTCCTTCCATAGATCAAGGCAGTGTCTCGTAAAAGCAGTCCAGTAATTAGCTTACAGAAATGGATGCCTCCTGCATACACCTCCAGCCACACCCAAAATACTCAAGTCAAATATGTTTATAAAGCTCATTGAAATAATAACAGGCTGTTAACAGCGCTGAACTATAAAAAGGCACAAAATGTAAACATAAAGGGCAAAACAATTTATTAAACAATAAACAAAGAACACAGAACAATGAAAACTAAAATAATTCATACCTGATTAAGTCAGTGAGAATAGATGTGTTTTTAAAAGACTTAAAAACAGGAAGTGATTAAGCAAAACAGGAGTATTCATAATTCCAACGGACTCACCACCCGTAGGAGGGGCCAAAGGGGTCGGGTGCAATGTGAAATGGGCGGCGGCCGAAGGAGGGGACCCTGGCGGTCTGATCCTC